ACTAGGAGTTTAGACTAGAGGTCATATTAGTAGCCTTTAGCCCCGAAAGGCAATACTTGTGTGCACTGGGAAGGTCTATCTAAAGCCCAAACGCACCGAAAAGCTTCACACGTGCCAGGTATATCAGGACGATCCAGAGATCAGTGCCATGGCATCGCTGCGAACAGCTTACGAGTGGGGCCCTTGCCTGTTCTCAAACTCCGGGGTTTCCAAACACACGAGCCTCCTGTTCTATACCCCCTAACAGTATACCCTCTATTCTGGAGACCGTCAAAACGGGACGCAGTTTGGGAAACTACATTCCAAGATCCGAAGAGGTGAGCTCAAGCGAGACGTGGCATGATATCATTCTGATTATTATAATGTTTCAGTTAGAGGGAGAAAGTACAACCCAAAGAAAATGCTTTTTTGACGTGCACATCTGCTTCCCCGCACCAGGCAGAATGACATTGGCACAATTGATCAGCTGTTGACCAATCCGTCCTACCGGATCCTCTCCGACACCTTCATTCGCACATATCTGCAGGACACATCTGCTTCGGCCAGAATCAGGCATGTCCATGCAGTCATGGTGGCAATTTGCATATTTTGATTTGGAAGGACTTGCTGCGAAATATTCGTCTGCAGGCCTTGCCTGTTGCCACCATTCGGTAGGATCTCGCGTATGTTGTTTCCACGGGGCAGCATTCTTTTTGAGCCCCTGGTATTCGCTTACACGTCTGCTATTCACGCCATGATGTTGCAGCCCGCAAGGTTCTGCAGAACATCATCAAGCCGTACAGATGCGTCAGCTTAGACTTCCTCGCAAAGGAGATAAATGTCGCCAATGAGGAGGCGTTGCGGTTTGGATACAGTAGGCGGGTTCACCAGCCTCCAGCTAAAGAATCCATGCTTGAAAAGCAGGATTTTTTTACTGGATCTTCTGTCATCAAATATGTGCTATGGGGTCGATGGCTGACCTACAGCCATGGTGGTTACAAAGATCATGACATGGTCATCATGGATATCATATTGCCACATGCGTGTCGCAAGACACTTCTCCGTCTCGTTGATAAGGTTCTTGTTGTGCAGGGCTGAGTTAGTGGCGCTGCACCGCAAATACAACAATTTTGTTACATGCTTGTAATGATTTATGCGCTTGTAGTATTAGCATGCTCGACAGCATGGACCTAAGCTAGCATGTGGGCTGCTTGCCGGGATATCTTTGCCAGGCTGGCACTTAGTCATCGCTGACAGGGTGGCAGCATCTTGAATCCTCTTTGCTAAGTATAGACATTTGTATATATCTATATGGGTGGTTGTCAAAATTATGGTCCCTATTTGGATCCCTATTATAATACGGCACCTAATATTTAGGGTACCCAAAAAGGGACCATAATTTTGACATCCACCCATATACTTGTTCATGTGTTTCTATGTGTGTATCTAGTTTATGTGTTAGATAGAGATACAAAGCTGCTTCGCTGCCGCTCATATGCAGGTTGTCTCCCTCTTGGTGCAGCTGATCCTTGATGAGAAAATCGCAGCTCGCATCGACGGCATTGAGGCATTGGACTGATAGAAGGGAAAGCAAAGCATTAACTGCCCGTGATCTTCTCGAAGGGCTTCGTGCAAGTCAGCTCTGGCGGGGGCGAGAAAGCAAAGCAGTTTACTGGCCTGCAGAAGTGGGCCCCGGGCACAGTGGCACAAACGAAGTTTGCATTGCCGCATTGCCGTTCATGTTATGGTCATTGTCAAGGTCGACTCCTTCGAGCGGATTCACAACAGCCTTCATACCAAGCTTAACCAAATGCAGCATTGATGAGGGCATCAAAAGAGCTGCCAGTCCCGAGTGTGCCTGGTTTAGTCTCTGGCATGTTGCCATACTTGAGATGCGATTGTCACCGCCGCCATCCAGATCATCTCAGACCCGATCAGTATTCAAACACACCGAAACCTTTCTGACCATATTACGAGAAGCTGACCAAACTTATCGTCATCAAAGCAGCAGCATTCGCTGGACATCATCTGGCTTCGCAGCGCACGGGGCTTGAAGACGGATAGCTTGTGACATGAGAAGCAATAATTGTAGTAAGTAAAGACTTTCCAGCGCGCTACACTGCAAGTCAAAGTGTACAGCCACACTGTCTCGACATTGACCGCATGCACTCCCTCTGATGTCATCATGGCTGCAGATTTTCCCTCATTGCTCGGACACACTGCCACACTTGCTGGCATCCTTGCCCCTAGTATATTATGGTATGTTATAGTGCATTATTGTGAATTATAGTATGTTATGGTATATTCTGGTACGCTGCAGTGTATAGCAGTTATATTATGGTAATACTAAACCCTAAACCCTAAACCCTAGTACTTCCTGACAGAAGCAGTCGATGTGGCAGGACATGTTGACGAGTGCATGGAGCAGCGGGCCTCCTTGCTGAGTGCTTTGCGGGTGCGCAAGAGTGTTTTCCTGATTTCTCATAATGGGTTATATAGGGATTCTAT